ACAAATAATTAAAAAAGGACACCAGGATTAACTGGGAATCTCATATGCTCTACATAACAATGCCTATTGTGGAGTTATAAGGCTTTAATATATCATTTGTGGCTTTGATTGGAGCAATACAGAAGCTTCCATGTTGTTTAAAGCTGAAAAATAAGGGTTGATTCAAAATATTCATTTTTCTGGACACCAGAAGCAATTAGTCATTCTCAGTTAGTAAACTCCTGGTAAAACTACAGCTTTCAAAATTCATCTGGTTTTGTACTAAGGATTCTGGGAAGAAGAAACAAATGTAAAGCATAGGGTTTTGGTTCTGGCCACTGGCGAAACAAACAGGAGGACTGATTTCAATAACTGAAGGAAAAACTCATGTATCTGTGCTGGCAACATGTATACAAAGTTTTAGCCCTTTGGTATTTTAAATGGCCAAAATACTGAAAATTTTAAAATGGCTTCATCAAGGGAATGCTGAGGGAGTTCCTAACTGAAGGGATACTCCCACACTCTTACATAGAGTATTTCTCACTCACACACACTACCTACTTGACTCAAAAACTACAATAGCAAAGAAAAATATTAAGCCATCTGATGTTACTTTCTGCCCCACATATGTGCACATACCTTACACTACCATACCCCACAACCTTAACTCTGTCCCTTAGCTTCACCAGTCTTCCCACATTGCCTTTACCAAGCAACTCATTCGAAACCCATTAGAGTACCTTCCATCCTTCCTACCTTCAGGGGCATTGGAACAATTTGTATAGTGGGAGGGGAGGGGGGTTGCTGAGATACATTGAACCAAACTGTAAACTTTGTATATAATGGAAATCACTTCAGGCCAGGGGTGCAAGAGCACCCTTAGTTCCAGCACCTATGCCTACCATATGCTCCGACAACTGAGTGTTGGGATGATGATTTTTGTTGGGCGGAGATTATTCTCCCCCGCATTCTGCTGACGGAAAAACTTTCAGCTATGTAGAACAGCAGCAGAAAATGGCCATAATCCAAAATATTTTCTAAAAGTACCTGTTAAATCAGATCTACTTAAGATTTATGCCCTACTAATAGTCTGATTGCTACTGACAAACTTCGACCCCTAACTGGTTTCAAATACTTCCTAGTTAAAAATTCAACAAAAGACATCAAAAGTTTCAAAACATACTGTGAAATTTCACACTGAAAACACCTACTTAGGAATAAAAACTTGAATATATGCCCCATTTTTAGTCCATGTCATAAAACATCCTTAACCACAGAGTCACAAACAGCCTCCCCATAATATATTTTGGTGTTTTTGGAGATACTCCTAGTGGGAAGAGTATAGTTTTTGTCCCACTTGGGAGTAGTCTCCTTTCCACTCCCTGCCTCCCCACCCCCAATGGATCATTGCTGTCTAATACTTGCTTTATTAATGGACTCAGTTTCTTGCTTTATGAATGGTCTACAATTTCTGAATCAGTGTTATTGCTGAAAGTTTTGTTTTTATAGTTTAATGTTCTACAGAAGCCCACCAAAAAAGCATTTCCTCACTTTATTGGCCACTAATTCAATTCGTTGAGTATCATACAGTTTCCTTTCACTGTGGTGTTGATCTGGCACCTTACAGTACAGTAAACAGAATCCTGCTGACTGTCATGTAGACTAATTGCGGTTCCTTTCCATGCTAACTGCCCAGTTGAGCATGAAAATGTCATGCAGTTTCTAACTGCAAGGGCCTGTTTTGGGGAAAGATTTGACGCGCCCATAACTGGGCCTCTAAGACTTTATTTCTGCTAATGATTGCTTGATTATTATGGACTTAAAGCCAGGCGCAGTTCTTTGCAGGACATTATCACAGCATGCTGCTTACCCTCTACCCCCACCCCTCAAAAGAGGAACCTTTTTTTGAGTTAATTAGATTTTTGCTTCTGCCAACACCAAGTGTGATTCTCCTCTTCCTTTCCCTTCGCCTCCCTCTCCTGTAACAGGGCAGCTGAAGTTTCATTACTCAGAGTAGCACTAGTTTGAGCAATCGCTCGCCAGCCATTGATGGCCTGACAAATGTTGCCCTGTTTCTTGTTCCACGCAGTCCTGTCAGATTCCCCCTGGATCAGTACTTCTGGGTCCTGCAAAAGCAGATGCTTTGAACTTCAGGAAGCTGAGCCCCCGGGCTGCCGTTGTGACAACCTGTGCAAGAGCTACAACAGTTGCTGCTCTGACTTTGATGAACTATGTTTAAAGACAGGTATGAGAGCTGTACTCCCCTGTATCCGTACACCCTGCTTACAGCTGGCTATGGACTAGTGACAACTGTGAGGGCATGCTGTACTCATCCCGTCTTCGAACACCTTCAGCCTTTCTCAATGTGCAGTCCTTGCTTGCTTACAAGGACCCGTGAGCAAATTATTGTATCTTCCCCAGTTACTGTGTTTCCTTTGCCTCTGCCTTGGTTTTCAGGAAGCATCCTGCACCTCTATTTACGTTAGATCCCACCTAAAAAGTAAATCGTATTACTGCAGTGCCCCACATTAAAAACATGAACAGCTATGCACACTGAGATACTAAAGTTTTCTCCTCTAGTGAGAACAGGAAATAACTCTGGTAACTATGAGATGTTGTCTTTCTCCCAAATAATGGTGAATACTAACAGAATTTAATGTTCATTTGCATACTGTGGGTTTCACGCCTGTGCAGTTGTCCACACAGGTTAATGCGCTGGTTAAATCCCACTGATGCTGTTCGGGCTTAACTGGTGCATAGATGTTGTGCAGGTCCTCTCAAGGGAGTGAATTGCAGGTGAAGGAGTGTGCTGGTTGCTATTACTTCAGACACCTATTTCCAGATGTCAGGGCGCACACAATCCACTGATGGAACCTTTCAAGTTCATTTAATTGGACACTAGGGGGTGGAAAATATGGCACTGTTCATGTTGGCTTTTTTGTTAACTTGATACATGGGTGTGGAAATTTTTAGAGAGGCTGTCTCTCTACTAACGCCTTTTGGAAATTACACTTCCTTACGGCAGAGCATAAAGCTACTGTTTTGTTTCCTAAAATATTGTGTATTTATTTCAGTTATTCACTGTATCAAAAAACATGTAGCTGGATTGGTACAGTGATTAGGTTGACATAGGTGATTAGTCTTCCTGCCTTTGAAATCCTTCTTGTTACTTTAGTCTTTGGTGAAAAATCACATTTATTAGAGCAGCCAAAAGAGATGACTAGTGTTTCAAATGGGATAAGGAATATCCCCAATTTTCAGCACAAATATCATGTCTCCCCCCTTCCCCCAGTTTATTTCATTTATATGAAAATGACACTTCCGTACAGCTCTGAACCAGGTCTGAACATTCTGACCTACCCAGACGTCCATAGGTCACCGTATAACTTCACCTGCTTGGTATCCAGGAAAGAGTGAGTTGATATGGTCTAGAAAATTGAGCATAGTTCTGGGCTCCAGGAACTGCGTGTTGGCCTTGGGCTGTTTGTGGTGGGCAGGAGGCACTGATCCACGGGGCCTGCCAGTGGGCAGGAGGTGCTGGGGTGGGGTGCGGGGAGCTCATAAGGTGGTTGCTGGAGGGTGCTCAGCACTCACCATTTTTCCCCATGGGTGCTCCAGCCTTGGAGCACCCACTGAGTCGGTGCCTGTGCTGCCCAACTTGGACATGCCTTCAGGACTGTCAGTTATGTGGATGGCCTCTCCAGGATTGGAAGGGTCACTTATAAGCCACCTTGCCCTGGGCAGCAGGTTTTATGCTCTGTCTCTTCAGGGTGCAGCACAGACTCTCACCCAATTAGCTTTGATAAAGGGGCTCCTTCCATCTTCGTATTTCGTGTGTTGAGGAGCTTGGCATGAGTAAAACCTCCAGTTGCATGTCATGTTGCTCCCTTTTACATCCCTCCATCTATGTAATGGTCACTGAATATAGTGGATTCCTAAAGCTAAGTGTGGGGGGGGGAGCAGCGGCGAGGGGGGGTGGTGGTGTTTGGTATGTTAAGTATAGCCCTTAACGTGCTAATATTTGTAACTTATGCTCCAGACCCCTCACCATATCCCTCATTCGAGGGTTAGTGGGGAAGGGGAGAGAAATTCCTTAACAATATTTTAGTGATACTTTTGCTGGTATTATGTTTGGAAAATGGCTTAACTGACAGGATCAGAGAGTGATAAAACTCCCTGCTTGTGAATGGGGAAGCACGCAAAACTTCACACCCCTCTGTGGCTCGCGTCTTCTCTTGTTTATAGTCAACTCATCGATTTCAAACACTGTGCAGATCGCAGATTTCCAAAGCCGACTGTAATGATTGGGCTAACTTCACTGGGATGTTCAACTGAGTGCTGGGGACCCTTTTTAAAAATATCTTCTTTAACGTTTTCACTTACTGTGTGAATATTTTAGCTCGAGGCTGGGAATGTACCAAAGATCGCTGTGGAGAGGCAAGGAATGAAGAGAATGCCTGTCATTGCTCTGAAGACTGCTTGACCAGAGGAGACTGTTGTACTAATTATCAAGCTGTATGCAAAGGTACATATTTCTGTCCCTTTATCTAGCCTGAACTGATAGAGGCCAGCCCTGTGGGTAATGCCAAGTATTTTTTTGTGAGAGCACCTCCATCCTGCCCCTCCTCCACATCATACACATTTCATTTTCTGTTCTTTTGCGGGTGTGGGGGACAGGTCTAGTTTCCTGTGCCCATGGCTCACAGGTGCTGTCAGTTCTGTGGAAGCAATGTGTTTCGGATTTGGTGATGGTGGGAACGCTTTGTGTCAGTTGGAAGTGATACTGACAGGCTGAGTGGAGAAGGAAAGGATTCTGCATGCTGAGATGGATTAAAAAACACCTTTGTAGTGTGTTGTAAAGCAAAAAAAAAAAATAGTTTAGATGTGCTCGATTGTATTACAGTGAATACAGTGCTGTTTAGTGGTCTCAATAAGGACCAGGGCTTAGCTTTGCTGGGTGTTCTGTTTACAACAAAACCCAAACCATAAGAGTCTCTGTCCTGAAGCACTTATATTTTGATGTAAGACAAGATGCCACAGACACATGGTGGAAGGGCAAGGGAAGGGTGACACACGATTACATAGAGTAGGTACGTGCAGGATTAGATCTTTGTGTTCCCTTTAATTACAGCTAACTCCTTTTTTTTTTAATGGAAATAGCTTCAATAATTATCTCAGTGGCGTGGTGAGTGGGCCGTAAAGGTTTCATTTCCATAGTAATCTTGATCCTATTGGAACATGTCCTGCCATATGTAGGTGCACCTCCTCTATCTGACAGGTTTCCAAGTGGTAACCGTGTTGGTTTTTATCAGCAAAAATAACGAGGAGTCCTTGTGGCACCTTAGAGACTAAAATTTATTTGGGCATAAGCTTTTGTGGGCAGGAACCCACTTCATCAGATGCATGGAGTGGAAAATACAGTAGCAGGTATAAATTCACAGCACGTGAAAAGATGGGAGTTGCCTTACCAAGTGGGAGGTCAGTCTAATGAGACAATTCAATTAACAGTAAGATACCAAGGGAGGAAAAATCACTTTTGCAGTGGTAATGAGAGCGACTTGTTTCAAACAGTTGACAAGAAGGTGTGAGTAACAGTAGGGGAAATTGCAAAAAGAAAAGGAGTACTTGTGGCACCTTAGAGACTAACCAATTTATTTGAGCATGAGCTTTCGTGAGCTACAGCTCACTTCATCAGCTCATGCTCAAATAAATTGGTTAGTCTCTAAGGTGCCACAAGTACTCCTTTTCTTTTTGCGAATACAGACTAACACGGCTGTTCCTCTGAAACCTGTCAGTAGGGGAAATTAGATTTTGTAATGACCCAACAACTCCCACTCTTTATTCAGGCCTAATTTGATGATGTCCAGTTTGCAAATTAATTCCAGTGCTGCAGTTTCATGTTGGAGTCTGTTTTTGAAGTTGTTGAAGAATTGCCTCTTGCTCCTGTTGTTGAGTGACCAGGGAGATTGAAGTGTTCTCCTACTGGTTTTTGAATGTTATAATTCCTGATGTCAGATTTGTGTCCATTTATTCTTTTGCGTAGAGACTATCTAGTCTGGCTCATGTACATGTTAGGGGAGCATTGCTGGTATATGATGACATTTATCACATTGGTAGATGTGTAGGTGAGCGAGCCCCTGAGTGCATCTTCTGGCCATTTGGCCTTGCTTCAATACACTTCTCCATGATTCAATAGGATTTACCTATTTTACCTATTGATCAGTCTCACTTGATTGTTAGCCTCCCCAACGACTCACTTTCACAAAGGTTTTTCTTTGGAATCTTCATTTTCTTCCCCACTTCCTTTCTGCCAAGCAACTGCATACGTTTAGAAGGTGAGGAGAATAGTTCAGATACATACCAGCATAACTGAGTGCAGACTCTACTCCCTCATCTCCAGTTCTGCAGTGGGGAAGGAAAACTAAATATGCCTCCTCCAGCAAGTTTTAGCAGATTGCATTCTTCCCAACTCTGAAGAAACCCTTGCAGATTAATTGTGGTTAAATGCTAGGTGTAGTTTCCAGTTCCTGCCTTTTGAGGTGCCTTTCCCTAGAAAGATAGGAGAGAGCGAGTACAGTAGTTAAAGCCATCCCTTGTTTTAATGTACATAGAACACAGTCATCATTTAGCCAGCCAATAACAAAAGATTGCTGTAACCCGGGCACCATTACAGGACTGACCTTTACATAAGAACAGCATCTCCATGTTATTGGTTACAAATTTACTTGTCTTTTCATATTAAATGTGACACTCTAATTCTTGTTCCACTCAAACAAATACTTCACATCTCTTGCTTATGCCAAGATCTCATTCTTCTTGAGTCCCTCTGTCTCTCTTGTTCTCCCTTATCAGGGCCAACTGGGATTGCTGCTGTTCAAAATTGTATTCTATGCATCTGCTTTTTTTTTTTTTTTGAGGAAGTACAATTCCTTTTAATAACACCAATGTCATAAAGCAAGCAGCAGTGTCTGATGATCTGACTTACTTTGTACTTTCATAGGACAGAAGAATGTCCCAAGTCTGAGCGTGCAGTGGGAACAGTAGCAAAAAACGTAGTGGAAAATAATTGACTATACAACCTAATACTATAGTAACAAAGTGTCTGAAAGGGGTTCAGTTCCATCTAGGCTATGAAATTAACAATTTGTTAGCATTATACTTTCATACTAGTTGCTGCTTTTGTGCTCTAACTTTTTAATGTTCAAACCGTGTGAAAACTTTCTAATGGGATCAAGAGGAAATCCCTTTACTCAGATTTGAAGTCATGCTTTAAACAGGTGCTAATTTGTACTTTAGCTGGTCTTATTGAACATTGGCAGGTAATCAGCACATTCATACTGCTGCCTAGGAGAGCAGTGGGTGTAAAAACATGTTGCTCACAAAGTATGACAGTATGACCTGTTGTGTGAGTGGTTTTTTGGTAGTCTGGTACAATTTGTAACTCTATTGACAATTATTCTAAAAAATGATGACTTCCTTTCCACGTAGGAGAGACTCACTGGGTGGATGACGACTGTGAAGAAATAAAATCTCCTGAATGCCCAGCTGGGTAAGCGCATTTTATTTTGAAGTTGTGCAGAAGACATTTGTTAAAAGAGCTGACTAAGTCATAGCCACTGGCCATGGGTTGATAAAGTTGCCCATTTCACTGACTGATCGTGCACCTGAACAAATACCTAATTAATTTAGTGGAAGTCTTTCTTTTGACTTCAATAAGTATTGGCTCCTGTGACAATAAGTATCCGACCTGATGTGAGCAGCCTTCAGGCCAATTTTCTTTAAACATGGCACCCAAAGGTACCTGTCTTATACAGTATTTAAAAACAAATAAGATTCAGGGGCACTGGAATACTTTTGATAGTGGGGGTGCTGAAAGTCAGGGTAACTGTAAAGCTGTGGTCCCCAAACATTTTACCTACGACCCTCCCCCCCCCCCCCCCGAGCTGGGGCAGGAGCAGGGCCATGGCTCTGGGAGGGGGGACTTGAAGAGAGGTAAGGGGGCCGAGGCTGGGGCTAGCAGCCAGGACCCCGGTGGCGCGGGGCCTTGCGTAAAACCTGCAGCACCCCCTGCACCCCTAGTTCCTGCGCCTATGATTTAGATTCTGAAACTTAACTGATTTAGAGCATGATTCAGCAAGACACTTTCAGCATGTGAATAACTTTTAAGCATGTGCGTAGTCTCATTGAACCCAGTGGGACTGTTTCAGGAGCGATGGAAAGTCCCTAAAAGTGTGGGGGGCCACCAGCACCTGAACTGTGGCCCCACCCTCATGCCGTCCCTTCTCCCTAAGGCTCTACTCTCTCCTCCTGTCGCTCGCTCTTATGGCCAGTAAAAGTGGGAGGGTCATGGACCCCTGACCTCCCTGTTCTGGCACCCCTGGACTTTTCACATGTTTAAAATTTAAGCATGTACTTAGGTAACTTGCTGAATCAAGGCCTAAATCTAAATTTAGATACCTAAATAAGGGGACTCTTTCACAGAAATACCGAGCATCTACAGCTCCTATTGACTTAAGTGGGCGCTATGGGTACTTAAGACTTTAGGTGCCTAAGAATAAGTTCACTGTGGATACCTAATATTGGGCACCCATGTTTGAAGAAGTTGCTTTCCCTGCCTCTGCATGAGCTTTGGGAAACTTCTACATTCTGGCTGTGTTTGCATCTCAAGAGGAGCAATGTGGCTCTTTGTTCTATGAAAAAATAACAAAATGAGTACTCCTTTACTGTGTTAGAGCAGCTAGTCTCTCACATACTGTGCGTGGACATTAAACTTCTTGTGACCCTTGCTCTTCACAAAAACAGAAAAGATTTGTGCTTGTGGAATGTGTGTGGTTTTTTTTTAATTGCAATTATATATGTGTAAAAATGTATGTATTTGACCGTATTCCTCTTATCCAGCCCTGTGTACATCACTTACCTTCCTGGATGATAAGTTCTTCTGGACAGGGACCATGTCTTTGTATGGGTCTTTATAGCAACAGTACAATAGGATTGTGATCCTGATCTGGGCTTCTGGGTGTTACTGAAATATAAATATTACTAAACTATACTGATCTACCAGCTCTAAAATTTATAGACTTCTAACTGTTGTAGTAGTTTAAACTCTCATTAGTCTGACTGAATGAGCATACAAAATAGTTTTCGAAATACTCCTTTCAACTCTGGATATGTTAACATAGTCTTTGTTTCAGTTTTGTTCGCCCTCCTTTGATCATCTTCTCTGTCGATGGCTTTCGTGCATCATACATGAAGAAAGGGAGTAAGGTCATGCCCAACATTGAAAAACTAAGTAAGTAAATCTGTTTTATTAGAACAAACTGCTACGGCAATCTCTTGTTCTTATATTGTTTTCATTGTTTGTATAGCACCATAAACCAACAAGGTACTATGCAGTAGAAGAGCTGCATCAAACACAGCTGGCTTCCCGGCCCAAAGGCCTAACAATCTAAAGGCCTGTTCTTGTTCCCAGTGAAGTCGAATGGCAAAAGTCACATTGGCTTAAATGATAGTTTGATTAGGCCTGAAAGAGACAGACTGGAGCAATGCAGAACAATAACATAAGAATGGCAGAAGTGCATTGTTTTTTTGGGAGAGCCTCCCAGAACAAGTGCAGTTTTTTTTGTTTGTTTTGCTAAGCAAACCTAATCTTGAATTCAACATGTGTAGCAGCAGCTGTGGGCACTACGGCACGCAAATGGGAAGTCTGGTGAAAATTTCCCTGTGACAACTCTGGAATTATAGTTTCAGACTGATTAATACAGGTGTTTGTCACCTGAAATTAGCATGAATTTTCTGGAGTTATTTTACTGCTAATATGGGCAAACTTGTAGTGAAAATGATCTGAAGTACTAATTAAAAGGGAAGCATTTTTTTCTTTTAAATCTACCTCGTTTTATACATCTATTGCCAAATTATTTCTCCATCTTTTTGTACGAGGAAAAGTGTTGTCATATTTTAGGCCATGCGTGTCTATTTAATACGTGTGCTTTAGCAGTGTTGGCCTCTATGCTTAAGCAATAGAGTCATGTTTATTTAAATTGGTTCAAACATGTTTCTTGGTATTTGTTAATTAAGCAAAGGTCTTCCTATCTTTCTGCCTTCAGTGTATGACAGTCCTATTTTTTAACACTTGTATTTCCTGTTGTACTTTCAGGATCTTGTGGAACACATTCTCCCTATATGAGACCTGTATATCCTACAAAAACCTTCCCTAACTTGTACACCCTGGCTACTGTAAGTCTTTGAGGGGGATTTCTTGAATATAATTAAAGGGACTTGCAAATCACTTACAAACTTGGGAATTGTGAGGGAGGAATTTTTAAATGAAAACTGGTTAATGTGGTCAATCACTTTTTATACTTAAGTTGTGGTTTTTTGTTTTTGTTTTGTTTTTCAAATGGAGTGGGGGAAGCATCAAAGTACTTTGAGATTCTTAGATAAGGGGGTGCAGTATAAATGCAAAGCATTTATTATAGCCTGCTGCTTTTTTTTTTACCCTTCCCACTCCTGTACTGAAGTGATTCATACTCCTTTTCTGTAACTACAGCTTACGGTTCTTACGGAAATAAATTTGAAGTCACAAGAACAGACCCTCAGTTGATGTAAATCTGTGGTTTGGTTTTTTTCCCATTGAAATTAAGTCAGTGGAACTATGCAATTTATACCAGCTTATTATGTGGCCCACATATTCAATATTAGCCGTGGTGTGAGTGCAGGGCTATGAACTAGGAACTCCTGAGTGCTAATGACAACTTTGACATTAATTCCCACTGTGGCTTTGAATGCAAGTCACTTAGTTGACTTGCCTCAGTTCCTCCTTTTTTTTTATGCTAGGAATAATACTTACTCATCTCTCAGGAGTGCTCAGGATTAAGTTACGCTTGTGAAGCAATACGAAGATAAAACATGATGAAATGTAAATGCTAGCTATATTATTTATTTATTATTATTGCCACCATTTACTGTCACCAGAATATTTTACAAAGATGAACTGAAAGTACTACTTTAAAAGGACTTTCTGTCACTTTTAAAGTAGCTAACTGCTGAAGTAGCTATGCTTTAAGACAAGATCAGGATATGCAAATGATCTCGTACTGCTTTAATGAATATCTAAAGCACTAAACATTTTTTTAATCTTAAAACCAAGATCTCTAATTCGGTTGAAGTTTACAGGCATACCCAGTTTTCCATTCTTAAAGAATTTAGTGGTATTTGTGGATAACTGTGCAGAACTGCATTTTAACGTGTACTAAAGGTTCACTAATTTAATCTACTTCTGCACAAAGGGACTCTATCCTGAATCACATGGAATTGTTGGCAATTCAATGTATGACCCTGTATTTGATGCCAGCTTCAGTCTTCGAGGGCGAGAGAAATTCAATCACAGATGGTGGGGAGGTCAACCAGTAAGTTTTCAGACATTTTTTTCTCCTGTGCTTTGGAATACAGCCAATAATAGTAGCAATAAAAATACATCTGTGAACAATTTGAACCTAATCTCCTGACATCTGGCCCAGCTTCTGTCATTTTAATGTAACTTTTGAGTTGGC